TTTACCAAGTGCAGTGATGTCGCCCGGGTGTCACGGTGGGCAGCGCAGCTTGGCGCTCCGCGCGGCGGGGGGCGGGGGCGGGGCGGGGGCGGGGCGCTGCGGGGGAGCGGACCGCCCACTCTGGATTCTGTGCAGTGTTAGGAAAACCAATCAGGTTATCACATTGACTTCGCTCAAACCGCCCTGCCGAGAGCCGCGGAAGCGCTCCTCATTGGGTTTGCAAAATCTGGTCTTTTAACTCTAGTACTGTTTATAGTTCATGACTATGGACAACTCGGGTGCCACGGGTGCCACTTTTTTTCAGATTCCAGTGTGACGTGAGGAATTAGATTTTGAAGATGAACATATATATATTACTATCTCTAAGCACTTAAAATGCTGTTCACACTTTATTACCAAGCATCTTGGTCTATCATTCAACAAGTACTGTATCTCCCTTTAAACTCTTTGGGAAGAAAAAAACAAAACAAAACAAAAAAAATATATAAGTTGCTTTCTTTTTTTTTTTTTTTTTTTTTTTTTTTTTTTTTTTTTTTTCAACACTGTAACTACATTTCAGGTCTGCAGAGTTTCTCACGAGCAAGATATTGGAAGTTTCAATGTGGTTTAAAGGGATGAATGTGAATTATGAACTAGTATGTGACAATGAATGACCCCCAAGTACAGCCTGACAGGATGTACTTTTCACTTTGATGTTTGAGAAAGAAGTAAAGGCATATATGCAGAGCTGGCAGAGAAACTGAGAGAAAAGGGATGGAAAAAAGAATACTCATTTTTGTCCAGTGTTTTTCTTTGTAAGATGAACTTTTAAAAAACCTTGCGATTTGCACATCTTGAGTTTATAATTTGTGTGATATTCCTGCAGTTTTTATCCAATAACATTGTGGGAAAGGTTTGAGGGACTGAACGAGCATAAATAAATGTAGCAAAATTACTTTCTAACCTGCCTAAACTCTAGGCCATTTTATAAGGTTATGTTCCTTTCAGAATTCATTTTGGTCTTTCTACATCTGTCACAAAAAAAAAAACAACCAAAAAACCCAAAAAAAAACAAAAAAAACACAAAAAAACAAAAACAAAAAAAAACAGGTCTTAGCAGGACAACTCTGAGAATTTTCTTCAGACTCATTGAGAGAGTTTTCCATAAAGACATTTATATATGTGAGCAAGTTTTTTAAAATTACTTTATTGTTGTTATTAATGTTATTTTCAGAATGACTTTTTTTTTTTTTTTTTTTTTTTTTTTTTTTTTTTCCATCTGAAATCAAATCGAGATTCAATGTTTGGTACAAACCCAGAAAGGGTATTTCACAGTTTAAGCCTTTCATCCCCAGAGACCTGAAATATTGTTTGTGGGTTTTGGGCGTGTGTCTTAAAGTGCTTTAAAAAAATTACAATAATAAGGTTTTATAAGTAACGAGAAATTTTTAAATATTCTCACTTGGAGTGGCTGCAACTTATCTGAACAAATACTTCATCAGATTTTTCTTTTACTGCTGAAAGTAGTACTTCTTCCATTTTACAAATTAAAAAAATAATTTCTAATATCAACCCACATTTTGGCCATCTAGTATCTCATTACATTTAGCTCTTACAAGAACTTAATGATATTTATAAACCATTTTCTGGGGTGTACCAAAAACATTTGCATAGGTTTAGAATAGCTAGAACTTTCTTTGGATTTCATTATCCTCTCAGCATGCTAGCAGAGAGCTGGGCGAGCCCATTCTTGTGGTCATACTGCTTGTTTAGAGCTGGTTTTTGTTTTTGTTTTTAAAGTTTCTGCTCAGAGACCTTGCTTAATCTTCCATATATTCTGCTCAGGGCACTTGCGATTTTAGGTTTTGTTTTTCTTTTTGTTTTGTAACCTTTAATGGTAAGAGGAATATGGGGCTGCCATATACACTTCGTCCTCCTCAATACCACTATTCACAGAAACTCACGCGGACGCAGAAACACACATCACCGCCTTTCGACTCAACTTCCAGTATTGTGCTAACTGGATCCTCAACACCAACACTAAAAATGGGAAAACATACACGGTTCGGAGCAATAGGAACATCATCGTAATTTTTATGCTTCTATTTCAGGTATAGGAATTCTTAAATAATTGGTTCTTTCTAAACATCATCCCATTTCACGCTCTTGCTTTTTTAGTATGTGCAACACTTCCCGTGCCAACAGGTCCAACCAGTGTGCTCTAGTTAAAGCTCATTCCCCATCCGGCCCCGTCTTCCCCATTCTGGCCAGAGAAGGGCTGGAGGGAAGGAACCGGGAAGGAGAGCAGCTCCCGCCGTGAGCCCCCACCACGGATGCTGAGTGCTGGGGAGGGGAGCTTTCAGGAGCCCCATATGTATGTCACCCTGTTGCAGAAAAAGCCAATAAAGGAAGGCTAGGGGACCAGCTTGAGTCCCTCTGTCACCATGAAGAATAGTGAATGTGCAGTGTGGGGAGGAAGCAGGTAGATTCATTTCTAAGGCACACTGTGGAGCAAAGAGAACCAAGATCCACCCATTCTCCAACGTGTTTTCCAGAGCAGGTGGGTCCCTCCTCGGGTCTGTGTCCTGGAGACTTTGAGCTGTGCCTCAGAGCACGGGTGGGAAGTGGCCCGATGTGTGCGTATGCGCTCTGAACATGCAGCCAGTGGCCGTGGAGGGGCCCCTTTGAACAATGGTCACCACTCCTTAGTGGCAGCTTTCCCTTCAAATAGGAAGAACATCCCAAGGACAGGGAACCTCCTCTGTTGGCAGACATTGGCCAGCTCCTGTGTAGCAAACATGACAATGAGAAGCATAGAAATTCTTCAGTGCCGTGCAGCTCACAAGGACCAGCCGTGTGCCTCTGTACTATGTCCGCTTGGCAATATCTACTGACAACCATCTTCCGTTCTTTCTTTCCTGTTTTCCATTTCTAAACTAATAACAGCGGGCCTTTTGCGTTTACAGTGGAACACAATCACCAAGAAATCAGTCAGGGCGAAAAGAAAAAAAAAAAAAAAAAAAAAAGAAACCAACAATCAAGAACCTCTCTTTCTAGGGATTTCTAAATACATTAAAGGACTGTTCCTTAGAATGTTTAACGTAAGAATTATTTCAGTTTGTTTGGGCCACATTGCGGGGGCGGGGGGAGATACAAAGATGGATGCCACTTACCTCAAACCTTTTAAAGTGGAAATCCAAATTGCATTTTTGTTTGGACTTTCAGAATCATTTTCGATGTCGGTCAATTTTTTGTTTTGTTTTGTTTTGCCCAACTCAACCCAGTTGGGTGTGGGAGGATTGGATTTTTTTTTTTTTTTTCGTTGCTGTGGATCCCATTTCTAAGTCTGAATTGTGACCTGCTATGTTTTCTGTTAGGTGAGTGTGTTGGGTTTTCCCCCCACCAGGAAGTGGCAGCACCCCCTTTTCCCCTACAAGGAACTCTGCGGAACCTTTCTCACCTCTTACTCAGGGACGGGGCTGGTGTGTGTGTGGTACACTGACGTGTCCAGAAGCAGCACTTTGCTGTGGAGGAGGCTTGTACAATTTCAAGGAATGTTTGGATTTCCTGCATCTTGTGGATTACTCCTTAGATACTGCATAGATTGCAATATAATGCTGCATGTTCAAGATGAACAGTAGCTCCTAGTAATCATACAATTTACTCTTTGCACATAGTTTGATCTTTACTGAAATGTGTTGCCAAAATTTATTTTTGTTGTTGTAGCTTTGGAATTTTTTTTTTTTTGTCTGTTTTTTAAGGAAACAATTGACAATACCCTTTAACATCTGTGACTACTAAGGAAACCTATTTCTTTCATAGAGGAAAAAAAAAATCTCAAAATGCTTTTGAAGACACTAATGCCATGTATTTCAGATGTGGGAGAAACAGCAGAGTTCTCGGACAGGAGGCCAGGCTTTGTGAGCCGTGTTGGTTGTCATGGCTACTGTTTCGTGAACCGCACGCAGCTCAACAAACTGGTCTGTTCTCTCCCAGAACCCTTTGCATTTCTATTTCCTAGTCACCCATGATGATTCCAGGTGGAAGAAGGGCCTGCAGTCTCGTGGCCCAATCCGGCGCCTTCAGCGGTGATATAAAAGGAAAGGAAATTACGCTTTTTATTTTTTAAAGTGGACTGGGGGCCTTTGCTTCCACCTTTGTGTTTTTAACCCAGATTTTCTGAAATAGAGAATTTAGGAACACATCAAGTAATAACTATACAGAAAATATACTTTTTTATAAAGCACATGCCTATGCTATTGTGTTGGGTTGGTTTCCTCTCTTTTCCACGGACAGTGTTGTGTTTCTGTTGATAGGGAAACTCCAAAGAATTTGCACACCTCCACTCCGGAGCTGAGATTTCTTTTACATAGATGACCTCGCTTCAAATACGTTACCTTACGGATAGGATCTTTTCTTGTAGCACT